GGCTACCACTACGATTTGTTTATTTTAATTCATGACTTTTTCCTGAATGCCACACTGCCTCTCAGAAATTTTATATTTTGTCCTAAGACCTTTGAAGTACTTTCTGTTCTGAATTTTTTTTGGTTATTCTATGAATATTATTGAAAATATAAACTGTAAATTTGTTTTCAAGGTTTTGTTTTTGGTAACACTTCTTTTTGTCTAAATGATCAGCTAAAAAGGATAAGAGCCTTCAACACCCATTTTATCTTAGCCACCTGTCTCTTTTAATGAACTTGAGGGAGGGTCAGGAATGGAGGGGTTTAGGGCAGAAAGGGGGAAGGGTTGAGATCATGTATCCTGGATAAGCACAGAGCTGTCATTACTTATTTGATAATCCACTTAAACCTTAGATGTGAAAGAACAAGGTTTCATAGAAGACACAGTATTTACAAGTTTACCACTTAGACTCTTGGGTAGACAGCAGAATTATTTTTTGTTCACTTAAGTTCGTTTTATTCATTGACAAATGCCAAGTTGGCACTAGATAACAGCCTCTAGTTATCTTTGTAAAATAGTTTTCAAATAGTACAGACGTCACCCTAAAACCAAACATATAATATTATAGAGGCTTGGAGAAGGCAATAGAATGAACATCAGATTTGGTATCAAAATCTGGGTTCAAAAAACGTGGGTTTCAACTTTGACACTTAATAGCTTTGTGACTTTGAGTAAATTTACATAATTTCTTTAAGTTCTAGTTTCCTCATATATAAAATGAGATAATAATACTTGTACTTTCTACCTTAATATAATGTACTGTAAGGATCAAATGACATTGCAGTAAAGTGATCCAGAAATTCAAATTGCCGTTGCATTTATGCAAGATGTATAACAGTCTGGTCTGGGTCTGCAACACAGCTGATGTTTACAGGGAAGCTCCTTAGAAATTCTTGATATTAAAGGAGAGATACATTGAGGACAGATGTAGTCTGTGACACAGTCACCTGGGTCCTTTTTTGTCCTGATCCAGGATGTGGCACCACATACTTGAGGTCCACCCAGGAGCTGATCACCTCTGACAGTACTGAAAACTCACCTGAGGAGCTGCTTGAGCTTACACTTTTTATTCTCAGGATGACAAAGGCAACTGGAGCCCTTTACAAATAAGTGTACTAGTCTAAGATAAACATAATCCAGGAGTCTTTGAATATATTAACCATGAATAAGTTAGAGCAAGCTGTATGCAGAGGTTGGACAGTTATTTTGGTACTCATTGGGGTTGTAATTATGAACTCTATCAAAGTCATTCTAGCTATTTCTGTCCATGGAAGGGTATCCACTCTGTGCAGCCTAAATTAGCATACCTCCGAGTTGTACTTTGTATAGACGGGAGTGTTTACTGGATTATTGGGTGGATGAAAACCCAATAATCTCTTCCTAATATTTTATTCCGCCACGCTGTTGTGTGGAAACTGCTTGTGCTTGGGAAGCAGAGTGAAGGTTCTGGACAGTTCTGCTGAGCTAAAAGAGCATTGACCATCTGCCCTAGGATGAATTACTCTGTTGTGGAATACGTTTCATTCATTCTTGGAGAGGCTCATCCCTGAAGCTGGTGGAATTTAGAATGAGTTGGCAGTAAAGATTCTTACACTGAAAACTGAAGGGTCAGAATAGAATTTTCAGTTGATTGATATGTCTGAGATCAAGATTGTTACTACAAACTAAATACTTAGTTAACATTTCATCTCAGTCTCTGAAATAGTTGGATAAGTGAAGTACTTAATGTCTTTGTAAATAGCCTCATTGCATTGTATAGTTCTGGTCATTCTACCAGATTGTTTTTAGGGCCTTTTTTGGTATAGACCAGGATGGGGAACCTGTGGCCTTCAGACCATGTGTGGCCCTCTAGGTCCTCAAGTATGGCCCTTTGACTAAGTGCAAACTTCACAGAACAAATCCTTTTATTAAGGGGAATGGAGAGGCATATGGTGGACCCACAACTTACAGTGGCATAGAGACTGTGATATTCCATTATTTGTAGCCTTAAAACATTACCAGAAGAACATCCATGTTAAAAAGTTGTAGCTTTGTTTCAAGGACAAGTTTAGGGTCATTAAAGTGCCGTAACTTGGGCCTAGTAGTACATGCATATAATCCTGCTAATGGGAGGCTAAAACTGTAGAATCTCTTGTGCTCAGGAGATAAGAATTATAGTGGGCTTAGCTGATCGATTCTGTGTCTGAATTAAGCTTGACATTAATATGGTGAGTTTCCAGGGTCACCAGTTGACCTGAGGAGGAGTGAACTGGCCCAAGTCAGAGACGCAGCTCCAGTACAATCAGACTGGGATAGGGCCTGTAAGTAGTCCTTGCATTTCTAGCCTGGACAATATAGGGGGACCCGGTCTTTTTGTTTGTTTTTTGAAGTACTGAATAATTTCTTAAAGGTATTCTAACCTCTGTTTATCCTCTCGTTCATTTCTGGGCCATTGGTTTCTTGTACATTGTACATTTTCGGTTTCTGTCAAAGGCATGTACTGAGACAAAACGATACAGTGGTAAGAACACAGCCCACCCTTGACCCTTAATACCTCTGTGACCATAGGCAAGTTATATAACCTTCCTGGACCCTGTTCTGAATGTTCTCTGTTATGATGGGATGCGACATTGGCAAATCTGTATCTCCCTGTTTTATGGCTTATAAGCCAGGGGGTCTTCAAGCAAAGTTTTTTTGTTACTGAATTGTACGGAATCAATAGAAATTTAGAATTGTAAGGGACTATAGAACCATCTAGTCCAACCCATTCCAGAAGGAATCTCTATTACAACATATGTAACGAATGATCATCCAGCTTCTATTCGAAGACCTTTGATAATGTGCAGCCCATTCCACTTTTGTGTAGGAATCATTGTCTTTGCAGCTTCTACCTTTTACTTCTGATTCTGCCCTCTAGGGCCAAACAGAACAAGTATAATCTTTCTCACTTGATAGACTTGCAAATATTTGAACACAACTTTACGTACCGAGTTTGTAGTCTATCAAAATCTCCAAATCTTTTTTCCTAAACAGACCATTATCTGACCGTGCCTCCTCCCATCCTGTATTTGTGCAGTTGATTTTTTGAACCTGAGTATGACTTTACATTTGTGTTTGTTAAATTTCATCTTCTTACATGTAGCTCAGTTTTCTAGTCTGTCAAGATCTTTTTGGATCCTAACTGTCATTCAGGGTATAAGCTATCTCTCTCAGTTTTATTTATGTCTTCTAAGAATTCGATAAACATGCAATCTATGTCTTTATGCGCTCCATTGATGAAAATTTTAAATAGGACAGGGCCAAGCACGAAATCCTTGGGATACTCCACTAGAGACCTCCTGCCACATTGATATTGAACATTTGAGTCCAGACATTCAGCAAAGTTTGAATCTTTCTAGTTCTATCTGTCTTTTCTAAAGTAATGAGATCACTTTATCAAATGCATTTCTAAAATCTAGGTAGTTTTCTTCTTAGCTCCACACTGTAATTGATGACCAAAAACAAAGAGTGAATAAAAATTTTAACACAAATCTTTTACGTTTGTGGTTTATTTATTGCCCTCTTTCTATTCTTTAATTTTTAAATTCCTTCTGGATAAGTTTGCTTAGTTGGAGTTTCTCACCAAACTTTTCATAAACTCCCTTTTTTTCCTCCATGCTGCTTGCAGTGGAGAAATTTTATGTCTTGAGATTGTTTGTCATCTTTCACCATGCTCTTTTGTAAGGCTTTATAAATGAATTAATATTCCAAATTCATACTTCCCTATAATTCTCCCCTTGGGTAAAGAGATCCAAGTTTTGCTAACTGTATGTTTTTAGGTCCTTTTTGTCTTCTTGTAATGATTTGTTTATAAATGTTTAATGTGCTTAGAAAATGGTGATAAGCCATCTTAAAGTTTCTTAAAATTTATTATCAGCTTTTTTTTTTTTAGCATCATCAGCTTGCTGATTGGATTTGTGTCATATTGGAGTTGTATCAATAGGATGCCATATTTTCTCATTTTTATTCTTCTACTCTTGGTATTAATTTTGTTCTTTGCTCTAAGTCTATTACCTAACTGTATACATGCCTGATTTGGAAATAACTCCTACATCCATAACCAGTCATTTTATTTTCCTGTTGAAATGTAACCAATTTATTTTTGTGATGTTGTTTGGTACTTACTATATACAACACCTTCCTCTATGTACAGAGTTTCAGAGTAGTCTTTGGCCTCTTATTTCTTACTTCTGAACTATATTTTTAAAAGTATTTTCCACCACCCTCCTTTGTGCTTGAATTGATGTCACCAAGTATCAGAATACGTGTTATTTCATTTGAAAGGGTCTTTTCAAGTTCTTCTTTCAATTTCTCTTCTGTCTCATCCTTTCCAACAGTCATTGGTACATAAAGCACAGTTGTTTTTATAGTTGTCTGTTGAAAATGCTTATCATGCGCACTCAGTGTATGATCACCAAGTGATGGTTCTTGGTGCTCTTGGACACGCAGTAACATAAGCACTGACAGCATCATTTGCTTCTCCAAGGAGAACTTGTGATCATTCTGTCCATTCTTTCCGCTTCAGTTCCATTCTTTCCTATGCCTTCCTTTTCCTTTGGTTTCATTTATAGTGAGGAGGTCAAGATTTATTTGATTCTGTTCTTTTTGTATCATGTTTATTTCTTGGACATTGCAGCAGGACCCTACATGTTACCAACAGCTACATTAATGCTGACATAGTCTAAAAATCACACAATTCTTAGCACACTTTGACCCCTTTTGGGCCATTCTGTCATGATCACTGTAGAAACAGAAGGGGGCGCCGTGGGACTGAGGGCCATTTTATATTTTCCTTTGTTCCATGATTTGCCGTGGTCCACAGATCTTTCTTGAACCTAGCCAGACTGATCTTTGCAAAGTAGGCAGTCTATCCAATGCCAAGTTCATATGTACGAAGCTTTCTTGGAAACTGTTTTTAACTAACTTTATTGATTTTTTTGAAGGTATCTTGCAATATATTCAGAACTCTCCCTCCTAGTGACAGCAATGAATTTGATCCAGAAGAAGATGAACCTACCCTTGAAGCATCATGGCCACATTTACAGGTATTTCATTGCATAAAAAGATATGGGAGAAGGTTCATTATTTCATTGGTTGATAAAAATTCATATCCTTTTCAGTTTTTGCTCACCAAGATTTAAAGTTACTGCTAGTTCATGTAACAGGTGGATTATTCACTTGTTTTTCACTCTTAATTGGATTTCTAAGAGAATACAATGAACATTTCCTACTTTTTTCAGGACTTTAGTTGGAATCTTCTTGTTCTTGTGAAGTGAGTCAGAAATCCCTCTGCTCCTGTAGCTTTAGTGCAGTATCAGATTGTAGCTTTCTAAGCGTTTTAAAGTGACTCAGCATGATGCACCGGAACCTCAGATTGGAATAAAACTATTTTCATATTAGCACTTATTTGAACATGACAAGATGTATTCGTTAAATGCCACAGGTCACAAAAGCCATTTTCACTATAAGTGCACCAGGGTTATTAACCCTGTGCAATAAATAAAGAGTGAAAGTTTTTTTAAAAAATTTGCTTTCTGAGATCTTTAGGCTTTTTTTTTTAAAAACAAATCCTGATGGTATTCCTTTCATAATCTCACTAGAAAGAGGAACAACTGAGTGACAGCAGGATATATGAGTAATCTTCCCTCTTCCGCACCAGTTGAGAAGTGTTTCCCAATCTTTTTCGGTCTGCCATACCTAAAACCTCATCGTTTTGTTTCCTGCTTTCCCTCTTCCGCATATATTCCTTTTCACACTTTCTCAGATAACGTATTTGTCCACATTATATATCAGTGTAGTTTATGTATACATACATGCACCAGTCATTCTCTATTCCCTTTTAATCATGGTTTCCTTGACCTTCTACATTTTAAAAAAAAATCATGGAGTAAGGAAATCAAGATGCCATTAAGACACTTCCAGAGTGATCTAAAAAGTCCTAATATGTTGTTTGGGAAATATTTAAAAATTTAAAGAAAGAAAAATGTTAAGAATTTTGCTGCTTTTAAATTCATAAATTTTTACATAAATTTATGTATCTTTCTCTTTTGAGCAAGTTTCATAATTTTTGCAAGAATTCAACCATACTATTTTCCCAGTAATACAAAAATTCCAGAGGGATACCCTTTGGGCCTCCTAACTTTTTCCATAGGTTCCTCCTGAATTGTAAAGAAACCCAAAGTGGGGTACCTATACGTGTGTATTAGGGGCTCGAGGTGATATTATTGTTTAATTTTTTTTTTTTTTGCCAAGCCTGAGTCTTATGTTTTATACTGCTTTCCTATTTTACTTACTCTGTAAAGAACTTCTTTAAAAGGATAATCCTCTGGGAAAAATCTTGATTGCAGATTTAGAACTAGAAAAGACCTTAGAGGTCATTTAGTCCTCCCAGTTCATTTTATGGATTAGGAAACAGGCCCAGAGAATATAAATATTTTACACATTGTCCCACAGCTATTAAGAGCTAAGTTTGGAACTGAAGTCCTCTGACTTGAAATCCAGCTCTTTCTACTGCATTGAAGTGGGAAACTTTATTTTATAGCTTTTTCTTCCTCCAGAGAAGTCCCATGTGTTCCTGTTGTTCAACTTTTTAAATGTTCCTCTGAATTAATGACTTCAAAATTATTCTCATCCTTCTCACTTTTGAAGCAGGTTCACAAATTACTGAGGCAACTCTGCTCTCTAATGTGTTGACAAGAGGCTAAAAGAAAATAAGATTTCCTTCTTTGGCTAGGTAGTTTGCCTGTGTGTGTGTGCGTGTGTGCGTGTGTGTGTGTATGTGTGTGTGTGTGTGTGTGTGTGTGTGTGTGTTCCTTCTTCCATTCTGTCCTTGCCTCTCTTCCACCTCCCAAGAAGAGAGACTAAGTTTTGCAATTTACAAATTAGAGTCTTGTGCTAAAATAGGGCTTAGCATTTCAAATAATAGAAAAATTTTTTGAATGACTTCCACTTACAGTTAAGGGAGAACTTTCTGGTTCAGGTTTAAGATTAAGAGTAAGAGATCCTAAAGTCTTTCCCTGAGTTTGGCATGAAATATTCATGTGGTACCTTGAAAACATAATTTATTTTTTGGTTCTGTCTTTCTGTCTGAAAACATGAAGATTTGCCTTTGAGGTTCTTAAGCAAAATTTGTTGCTTAAGTGCAAAATACTTTTTGGTATGTATTAATAAATATAGCCAAGCTTTCACCAAACTATTAAACATCATAATTGATTTCAAGGAACCAGAGGGCAGAGAAAATGCATTTCCAATTATACTAGAAAACCTTACCATCCAGTGAGTAAACATTGCAAGATGAGAGCATGGGAGTTGGCAAATGATGAAACTATCCTTATTAGGGTCATTTGAACAGCTTACTTATTTTTGCATAATTAATAGTTGTTCAAAGATTATAGTATAATGAATCAAAGAATGTTTTTTTCCTTTGAAGTGTTGAGACCTAGAGGCATTTTTTATATTAGCATTACAACATTAGTACAAAAAAGCATAGACTACTAGCATGAGGGTGGCAGAGAGGAACTTAGGAGAGAATCTCTTAGTTTATGGAAAATTTGAAATAGGGGAAAATTGGGTTTTATTGCCAAAATATAATAAGACTTCCATGTGCATATATTAGAACTAATACTTAAGTCCCTTCCTACTACTGAATATAGCAAGTTGCTGTAAAACTCCCTCCTTATTTTCCAGGTCAGGACTAGAGACTGATATTACTGCACTAGTCACTTGTGTGCAGAGGGAGCTGGAAACATGGGTGTCTGTGTGCATGTCTATAGGTTTTAATTTAACAAAGTCAGAAATCACAGATACTGTAGTGGAATGTTAAACTCCTCAGAACATAGTGTAGCATCTTAATCCCAATTTATTGTGTGTGTCTCAGATCCCTCACAATATATCAGAGCAGCTTTGTGAGGAAAGTTGATTTAATTTCTGTGCTAGTAAGAAAACCAATCATAGAAAGGAAGAAATTATGTGATCAGCTTCCAGCCTATCTGGGATTCTAAATCCCAATTTCAGTTCATTCATTGTGCCCTGTTGCTTATATTTTTCTTTGTTTATTTCAGAACTCACTGTACTTTATTTGTTGCAGCTTGTATATGAATTTTTCATACGATTTTTGGAAAGCCAAGAATTCCAACCCAGCATTGCCAAAAAATACATAGATCAGAAATTTGTATTACAGGTAAGAAAACTATTTTATGTGTATTTGTTACTCAGTTGTATTTTATTTCTTTGCTATTTAATTTAGTATGGCTAAATGTTGGTCAAAGTTTTGTTCAGAACAGGCAGGGGGATGCCAACTAATTATTCTACCTCAAAACACACACACACGCGCGCGCACACACACACACACACACACACACACACAAGTGCATTTCCATTGTATTCTGTTCAGTGTGGCATCCCTTTTAACTCATGGCATTGGAAGTTCATAACAGAGAATGCCAATCCTTGGATTTCTGCAGTTTTCTTTTATAGGTTGTTTAATTATAAAGTAATTTCTCATGTATAGCTCTAGTCTCTTGTGAACCTTTGTTATTTTAAAACCTATTATTCACATAAGGATTCCTAAGCGCTCTTGCATGGGTCTCTTGAAACTGAACATTTAATCTGCAGTGTTTGACTACAAAGCATAAATAAAATGTCTTAAATGATAGGAGTCAAAACTATGCTGAGCCTTGTAAGTAAAGTTCCTTTTTCCTTTTAGGAAGCAGCACACCTTCCTGCTAGAAAGCAATATTATAAACTGTTGGCAGTTTCCTTAGAGGAATTAACCATCACTTGGACAGTTAGAAATTTTGAATTGTAAAACTTAATACTTTATAAATTTTAATGACCAAGTTTGGCTCCAGAGAAGAGTCATAAAAATCCATCTCCCTGCCTTAGAGGCGGGGGACTATGGGTATGAGATCACGTATATACTGAAAGATATGTTCAGTGTGTTGGTTGGCTTTGCTGACTTTTTTTCCCCCCTTTAAATCCTTATTATAAAAGAAGGCCCATTGGATAGGGAGGAGTGGGAGATATGTTTGGAAACAAATGTGACATAAAGTGAAAAGCATCAATGATTTTTTAAAAATGACTTTTAAAATTTAGATTGCATTTTTGCAGACTTTTGGGGGCCAGATCCTATAACTTAGGCTATTTCTTCCTATTTATCCTCATTTCAGGATTCTTTACAGTTCTGGGCCAGTTAGTTTACTTTAGGCCCCTGCCTAAGGAACAGTCTTATTTGCGTTATAGTGAGGTCCCTTGTAAATAATTTTCACCTTTCAGAAAAAAGGGCAAATTGGCTATAGTATTTAGAAGAGAGCAGATACCCTTCAGTGTAAGGCAACAGAATTTCATATGTACAGACCTTAATAAGTCAACAAATATTTGTAAGCATCTGTTGTGTCAAGCACTGAGGACAAAAGTGCAGAGAATGGAACGATCCCTATTCTTGAGGAGCTTATATTCTCCCAAGGGGAAAATAGGGGTGTGTGTGTGTGTGTGTGCGTGTGTGTAAATGATATAAAATAATTAAAAATATATTCAAAGAATGGAACAATCCCTTTGTGTGTGTGTGTGTGTGTATATGTGTGTGTGTGTGTGTGTGTGTGTGTGTGTGTGTAAATGACATAAAATAACTAAAAATATATTCCAAGTACTTAAATACAAGGTAGTTTGGAAGGAAAGGCACTAGCACTGGAAAGATCAGAAATGCTTCATATACAAGATGGTGCTTAAACTGCATCTTAAAGATCTTAAAGGAAGAGAAAGACTCTATGAGGTGAAGATAAAGAGGGAGTGCATTCCAGATGCAAGTAGTAAGCCCTGCCAAAAGCACAGACACAGGAGACATTTGTCTCTAGGTTATGGAGTGGGTGGGGTGGCTATGAGTGACAGCCAAAAAGGACTGGAAAGATAGGTTGGAACCAGGTTGTATAGAGCTTTAACAGCTAACCAGTGAAGTTTCTGTTTTATCTTGGACACAGTAGGAAGCCATTGGAGTTGATCCAGTAGGAGAGACACATGGTCAAATCTTCACTTAAGGAAAATTATTTTGACCGTAGTGTGTAGGATGGACTTGATTGGTGAGAAATCTGAGGCAGGGAGTCTGCTACATTAATCTAAGTGAGAGGTGACAAGGGTCTGGACTAAGGTGGTAGCTGTGTGAGGAGAGAGAAGAGGTTAGATGCAAGAGATATTATAAAGGTAGAAATGGCAAGACCTGGCAATTTATTAGATGTGTTTTGTGAGGGAGATTGAGGAGCTGAGGAGCATGCCGAGTTGTGAACATAGGAGAGTGAAAAAACGGTGCTTCTTTTGAATGAAGTCGACAGATGGAGGAGAGGAGGGTTTTAGAGGAAAGGTGTGGAGTTTCGTTTTGGGCAGGTGGAGTTTGATTTACTTATTCTCAGAGCCACTGTTTCTTTTTTTGTAAAATGAGGATCATGTTACCTACATACTAGTTCACTACTGTTTTCACCTCATAGTTGTGTAACAACTGAAGTTCCTGTTGCTGCCTTGAATCAGGAAGATCAGGGTTGTAGGCCCACCTTGAAACATACTGGTTGGCTGCTGACCTTGGGAGTCACTTCACCTCTCAGTGCTTCTGTGCAACTCTCTATGACTTTAAGTTCAGAACAGTTGCCATTCTGCATTGATAGGAGGTTCTATCCTGAGAGACTTCTACATGAATGAAACCATAGGTCTAGACAAAAAAAAAACCCAAAATAATTTTTGTTAAGTGTTTCCACATGAATGCATACATGTGCACACAGACAGACACACCTTTTAGGTACTGACCTGAAGGAGCTTGTTCATTCATCAAGGAAAAAGTTAGAATCTTTTCTGTGGTTTTTTTTTGGGGGGGCTAGGCAATGGGATTAAGTGACTTGCCCAGGGTCACACAGCTAGTAAGTGTTATGTGTCTGAGGCTGAATTTGAACTCAGGTCCTCCTGAATCGAGGGCCGGTGCTCTCTGCGCCATCTAGCTGCCCCTAGAATCTTTGCTGAAAAACAGTTTAGGGAAGAATCGAGGCTCCGTGCTAATGAACCGCTTCTTCATGCAGGATTCTTCTCCCAAATATGATCCAGCCTGGGTTGTCGATTTCCCTTGAGGGCTTATTCAACTGCCTTTGTGTTAGATTCTGTTGCAGAGTACTATGTTAGTCCTCTAAGGATATAAAGCAATGAAAAGCAATTGGAACCACGTCTTTAGTTAAGTACATATACACAAATAATTATAATACATGGTTGAATATGACAAATGCAGAGGAGAACTATGAGCACCAGTTCTTTGGGTGTTTGAGGTTTGGGAAATGTTCTGACTATGGCAGAGGACAGTGCATTTGAATTCAAGGAACATTCAAAATCTGTACACATCCGTACATATAAATCTGTACATACAAAATCTGTGCATGAAAGCACAGATAGAGAGACTGCAGAGATCTCAGGGGAGAAGAATCATTTCTGCCTGAGAAGATGAAGGAGGTAACATTTGACTTGGGCCTTGAAGAGTAGAGAGAATTTCAGTAGTACTTTTTGTGTATGAATGTATGAATGTATAAAGTAATTTTATTTTGACTTTATTCTGTATAAGTTTAAGTGATACAGGTTTGGCAATACATTTTTTTTTATCACTAGGGGGTTTATTATGATAAGAGCGCATTTGACTACATTTAAAGTATTTCTAAAGACTGCCTTCATCGAGTCTACAAGTCTAGAGTGCTAGTGGTTGCTAAGAGACATACTGCTCAAGTATCCCCGTAAGCATATCTGCTGCTGTGCATTGCTATTTAGTAATTTGTACTTCACATTGAAAGTTATATTTAGCAAAAAGGTGCCATAATTATCATGCAAATTATGTAAATCACTCAGCCTGTCCTTAAAAGGGACCTTTTGTTATTATGTTTTAAAACCTCAGAATGTATTGTATAAAACAGAAATCAACACATTGGATTTCAGGTTCTAGCTTGACATGGATCATAAAGAATCTTGAATTTCACCTTTAAAGAAGTGTTTTCAAAATTATTCTATACTTCTTAAAATAGTTTGCCTTTTATCCTCGAGAATGGTGTTACTTAGAGCAATGGTTCTCAAAGAGAGACCCTTTCAAAAGGTTTGAGCAGTCAAAACTTTTCTTTGTATCTTGTTGTTCAGTTGTGTCTGGTTCTTTGTGACCCCATTTGGGGTTTTCTTGGCAGAGAAACTGGAGTGGTTTGCCCATTTCCTTCTCCAGCTCATATTACAGGTGAGGAAAATGAGGTAAACAGGGTGAAGTGACTTGCTTAGGGCCACACAGCTAGTAAGTGCCTGAGGCCAGATTGAACTCAGAAAGATGAGTCTTCCTGATTCCAAGCTCCAGTGCTGTATCTACTGTACAACCTAGCTGTTCTTTATACCAAGATGTTTTAATTTCAAATATGGCAACTACCCATAATTCTTGGTGGAGGGAAGCTCCTTATTACTTTTATTTAAGAGTATAAAGGCAGGGCAGCTAGGTGGCATGTGGATAGAGTGGACAGGGTGGATAGAGTAGAAAGGGACCCTAGAGCGAATAAAAGATTGATAAATTCTCATATGGTACTTATTAAAAAATTATTACCAATTAAATAAACTTCTTCCCTCTACCCCACACATAAAACTCACCAAACCTCCTTCATCCTTGTTCCAGCATAACATTCATCTTTCTTAGTCTTTCGTGGGCATCTGACAGAATTCATGATTAATTTAAAAAAAAAAGAAAGAAGTGTAATGACAAAGTTATTTCATAATATCATGGATTTAGGGATTTTGTAGGCAATCTAGTTCCACATCTCATTTTACAGATAATGAAACTGAAGACTCCCAGGGGCAGCGAGGTGGTGTAGTAGATAGGGTACGTTGGGTTCAGATAAGGAAGACATGAGTTTAAATTTCTACGTCAGTTACTTGCTAGATGTGTTATCCTGGACAAGTCATATAACCTCTCTGCATCTCAGTTTCCTCATCTATAAAATGGGGATAATAATGGGGTCTTTGAGGATAAAATAAGACAATATTTGTAAAGCTCTTTGGAAACCTTAATGTACTATATGATTGGTAACTATTATTAAGTAAATTTTTATTGGTCTTTTTTTTACATCAACACAATTTCTCCCAATATAACACCTCCTTCCTTTCCCAGAGAGCCATTTTATGTAACAAATAGTATTT